ATATATTTTCTATATATGAGAGCTCAGGAATATGGGATAGGAACAGCTCTCACAGGGAAGAAAGAAAACTGCAGCTTTTTCCTGTGGGCAAAAAGATTATGCACAACTCCAGAAGCAACTGGAGGCAGACATCACCCGTGGCATTACAGCAGTCTGAGCCTGACTACAAATGCAAGGCTTAGGGGCTGCAGGGAAAGCAACTACACAGTCTTCAGAGAAACCTGGGGACACAACTGCTAAAGTTCATAGGCTGGATCTATGAGATAACTAGCAACACTTTACAGGGGAAAAAAACCCCAGGGAAGCGAGGTACCTGAAAGAGGAACCTTTCAGTGTTCAAATCCCTTTGTGAATACAGCATGTAGCCTTCCTCCAGCAGTCAGGTTCAATATCCACTATGATTTTCCAAGACTGAACTGAGCTGTATCACTTAAGGTAAAGCCAATTTATTTTTTACAAATCTGTCCATCATTCTGAGTATTCATGTCTCCCTTAAATGCACACAAAACTGTTTTGAGCAAGGGGTTGACATTTGTATATGTACAATGGGTAAGACAATGGTCAGGCAAAGCCTTCAGGCTCAGCTACAACACAACTAAAATAATGTGTAAATGACATTACTGAACAGTAAAAAATTATATAAATGGTATATTTCATAATAATAGCAGTCTTCTAAATTGTGTAAATTAATGGATTTGGCAAATTTCACCTTCTGGCACCAAAGAACAAGATAAAGCAGTTTTTAAAAAAACTGTATAACTGCCCAGTATCAACTTTCTCATTATTCCCCATTGGAAAAGAGGCCATTTGTTTTAACATTGTGGTTGTTGCTTAAGAGATTTTACATAATTGTTTGCACTAGATTTCAGGAACTTGTTTGAAGGATTTGGGCGAGTCCAAAAAACCTTCAGTTCTACTGCACCACATAGATCATTCTTATTGCCTGCTCCAAGGAGAGTACAAACCAGAAACAGCCTCTTTATTGTTTCTCTCATGTTTGCTTTTCTCACCATTAACACTCAGCAGAAAGAGTGTTCACTTTGGGTAAAACAAAAATTACCTAGTGAAGCACAGGGCGTCACAAACATTATTAGACTGAGTATGTCTAGAAGTGATAATATCTGAGGTACCCTGGTAAGAATATGAAGAATCACAGAAGCTGTAGGGGCAAACTTTTAACACAGTATTTAATCAGGTGTAGGTGTGTTTCTTTCCATATACATTATGGAAAGAAACATTATTTTCCTTCTTCAGCCCATACAACATTCCTGTTTAGTAAACTTTATAGGGAAACTAAAGCCACGTTGATAGTTTCTTGTAACAGCTTGTTGTCAATTGCTTGCTGCTGTCCTTTCTCTTGAATATAAAAATACACAAAGTGAAGTGACAGGAATAATTACTATAGCTTCAGGTGTTCCTAGTTTCTTTGTGGCCTAGAGAGACATCAAACTAGTAAACTAAAATTTACACCATATAGCCACATTTTGTCCTGTACCAAGCTAAACACATTAGCAGTGTAAAACATGTTCATTCCACTCAATATAAAAACAATAAATAGCGCTACTAATAATACCTGCAGGATTTTCTCTCTTTTATCAGAACATCTATACCGTTTTTGCCTTTTCTATTCTCTATTACACTATCAATTCTAACAGCTGCAATTTAGCTAGGTAATCATTCGAATGAAATTAAGGCTTCCTTTATCTTTTTCACAATGAAAGGTGTTTCCAGATTCACATTTCAACAACAAAGAAATTCTTGGTGGTATTTTAAGGGCAGTTTCAACTAGAGCTACTTATTACTTCTGAGTTCTTCCATTCCCTTTCTCCACATGTATGCTTGAACCTCTTATTGCCATTATTAATATGCATATGTTGGCAGGGATGTGTTTGTAATATTTATGATATTAAATGGTGATTCCAGTACAGGCTGTCAATTATTTGAGTGGAGAGAATGCAATCAAAGGATGTTGCAAACTCTGCTGTTGACACCTGCTGTCCACATTCACCATGGAATGGCTTTGGTAGGCAGGGCTGCACAACAGTTACCAAATGGGTGGAAAGGATTGAAGTGCTGAGTGGGTGCCAAGTCATCAGAAGCAAAGAGCCAACAAAGATTCATCAGGAACCTGCAGAAGAAAAGATGGTCCTGAATGGTCACTATTTTGGGATCTCCACCTAGGGACATCTAGCTGACAGTCCATCCCTCCCCATATCGATTGTTCCCAGCAAGCACCAGCTGTCAGTGGCTGCTGCCATGCAGTACAAAGTCAATCCTCCAAGTTCTTGTCTACCTTGACAGTGCTAGGACATTCTCAGGCTGGCTACTGATGCTTCTTCTTTTGTGTAGCTGGGGAGGTACAGAGTTAATCCACTAATGAGGAGGATGTGCTGCCTTGACAGTGCAGCTAGGGAAGGGTTAAAATGCTGGAACTCAAGGTTGAGATCAAGAGCTGGGGAAGGAGGGAAAAGACACTGAGGATGTGGTAGGGGCCAGCAACAGGCAATGAAGGCAGAATGATTTTGACAAAGAAGGAAATGGAACTCTGCAGGGTCATTCCTCCTTTCATGTAAGAGGGACAAGCAGAGAAAATAGCAGGACTGTCAGAAAAGAAAGCTCAATTTAAAAAAAAAAAATAGACAAGCACAGTATATACCTGAAAAACGAAGTGCCTCTTGCAGCTGCTTTTTCTCTTCCTTTTTGGTGGGAGTGTGAACTTTTGCCTCATACACCTCCTACCTTCTGTAATTCTGTTAAAGGCCCTTTTTCCCTGCCTCATCTGCTGGTTAAGTAGCATTGCTGTTGCTGCACTCAGAGGTGGCACCAGAAGCTATGGATTTACCCTGTACAAGGTATGGAGATGGCAGCCAGTACTATACCAGAAGAAGGTACCTTGAGTTAGATACAGGGCAGGAGAATGTCAGAGGAGTGGCACCATGTTTTGCCCAAAGGTTTTACACTCCTGTGGTTATGCAAAGTTGTTGTGCACAACAAAGGTGTGCATAACAAGCTGAAGAACTGTGGCATAGGGAAAGCCCACAGACACCCTTAGGTTTTCTTCCACACACAAATTGAGAACTGGGTCCTCCACAAACAACTTCTGAGGGGCCTGCAGCATCAGAAGAATTCCCTTCCACCTCTGCTACAAAGGAAACCAGAGAATTCAGCAAAAAACATTACACCTGTATCTTTCTTCCTGTCCTTTGTTGGGCACAAGATATGCCTTTGGTAGGGACCCCTGATGGGATGAAAAAAACATTCACATTATTCTTTCCCCCCTCTTTTCCAGACATTAAATCAGTGCTGGAGTTACGGGAATCTACACATTCATTATCCTTCCAGCTGGAATCAAAGCATGAGTGTATGAAATGCGGTGTTCAAATTTTTTTTTTCTGGGTTAAAATTCATGTGCAAACTAGATGTGATTGTCTGTTTAATCTATCTTTTGGACTGCCACTCAGATAATCAGAGGGTAAAAAGCATTACTTGTGCTGACTGAATGAAGGGAAAATTTCACTGACTTGGTGTTGGCTTTAAAATCATACCAGATACCAGGACCTATAGAAGATCAACTTTTCAACAAACAAGTTAATACTTGACAGTGAAGTCATCAGGTATCCAAGGTCCTGCTCCGGAACACGGGTTACTGATCAACCCGGGTCACTAAAAGTTCAGGTTGTCTGTCTCCTACTTTGCACACAGCATGGGTGCTTCAAACAATGCTTCTGTAGCTGAAAAACATAAATATCTTGTGCTTGGCTTTGGTCCAGGTAACACCAGGTAACACCATCAGGTCTGTTTGACCACAGCTTATATATAACCCAGAACAGTAAAGGAAAATTTTGTCTGTCTTCACCCCTTCAAAATATTAATTGAAACACTGACATTTTACTGCCAGTTAGGCTACAAGCTTTTATGAGTTAGTAACAACACTCTTTCTTGAAATACCCAGGAGTCCAGAGCAGAGATTACAGCTGTTCAGAGCTTTTAAAAAATGTTTCAGATTTCTCATGTATATAATCTTAAATTTCTCCTGGGTGACACTGCATTTTGATTCATTGTGTAGATTAAGCAGGTGCCGTAGGAGCTGAGGTGAACATCAGATGGTAGATTCACCAGCTCTGTTGTGTTTTAAAGAAAATAATAATGGAATGCTGCTATAAAAATCACAGAATCACACATGTCAACTAGAATACAGCACTAAGTGTCATATCTGGTCTTTCCTTAACCACCTCCAGGGATGATGATTCCACTACCACCCTGGGCAGCCTATTCCAAGGTCCAACCATTCTTTCTGTGTTGAAATTCCTCCTGATGTACAACCTCCCGATGTACAACCTACAGCTCCCCTAGCCCGCTGTAAGACTGCTGTGTCCTCTTGTCCTGTCACTGGTTGCATGGGAGAAGAGGCTGACTCCCATGTGACTACAGCCTCCTTTCAGACAGTTGTAAAGTGATAAGGTCTCTTGAGCCTCCTCTTCTCCGGGTTAAACAAAGCCAGCTTCCTCACCTGCTCCTCACACGACTAGTGTTCTAGACCAGCTTTGTTTCCTTTCTCTGGACTTGCTCCAGCACCTCAAGTGTCCTTTGTGGACTGAGGAGCTCAGAACTGGACACAGTACTTGGGGTGTGGCCTCACCAGCGGAGTATAGCGCAACTGCTGTGTATAGGGGAAAATGATGTATCTGAGCAAGAAATACCACCTTGGAAACAGACACACTTGCAAATGAGGAGTTTTCTCAGAAACACCTAGCGACGTGAGGGATGGGAAGAGCGTGAAACAATAAATGGTAAATTCCTGGGAGTTTATAAGAGCTGCCAATTAAGGGGCCGGGAAGACAGCAGCCCAAAGCGCCGGGCTTTGGCCAGGCCAGGCTCACCGAGCTCTTCCCTCCCGGGCCGAGCCGAGCCGAGCCGGGCTGTAACACACAGCGCCGCGGGGAGGCGCGGAGCGGTGCCAGGAGGGCGCGCCCGCCCGCCCGCGGAGCCCGGCCCGGCCCCGGCGGAGCGGAGGCGGAAGCCGCGCCGATGAGCTGTGCGCGCTGGGCAGCGGCTGTGCGGAGCCCCGCGCTGGGCCGAGGTAAGAGCGGAGTGGCCCTGCCTCGTCCCCGCCAGGATGTGGGGACGGGGCGCTGCTATCGCCCTGGCCGCACTGGCCGCGGCCCTCTGGCTGCGGAGTGGCGAAGGTACAAACCTCCGAGCGCCGGCCCGGGCGGGAGGCGGGGCCGGGTGGGCGCCGGGCGCTGCCGGAGCCCCGGGCGGTCGGGCCGGTGCGTGCTCCCCACGGGGGAAAGGTCGCCGGGCCGGGCAGCCCCGCCGGGGGCTGGGCCGAGGCGGGAGGGAGGCGGTGGCGGCCTCGCGTGACGCTCCTGCCGGAGAGCAGAGCCAAAGCGAAGGGGCGGCAGCGGGGCCCAGCAGGATGCAGCCCACCCCCGCCTGCCGCGGGGGCCGGCCGGGCCGCTCACCTGCTCCGCGGAGGGACGGCCGGGGGCGGGGGAAGCGCTCGCAGACCCGACCCCCGGCACCGGCGTAGGGTCTGCCGAGGGCAGCGGCTGCCGGCTCCCCGCGGGCCTGCGGGCGGCGCCGGCTGCGGAGCGGCTGTGGTGGCGGCCTGCAGGGGCAGTCTGTGCGCCGCTGCGGGGTGCGGGGGGAGCCCGCCCGGCCCGGCTCGGTGACACGGCGGCCGGGGCGCAGCGATGTCGCTGCCCGCGCTGGCGCGGCGCGGCCCGGCACGGCGGTGCGCGGGGGTGAGGTAGGCGCCGAGCGGAGCTGCAGCGCCCTGTGTGTGTGGGGGGTGTGTGTGTGTGTGTGTAGGGATCGCGCTCCACTGCGGCGGGGAGGGAGGGAGGCAGGCGCACTGTGATGAGCAGAGCCTCTAAGTCCAGGCAGCGCCGTCGTCCTGTCGCTCCCAGCGGAGCCCAGGGCGGGGGAGCGGCAGCGCACGAATGACTGCCTGAGAGGGGGGAGGAGAGCACCGCGGCTCCGCGCCGGGTGCCTGCTTGTTTATTTTTTATTTGTCATCATCGTTTTCGGAGGGGGCGAGTCAAGGGGAAGAGGTTTTTTTCCTTTTTCTTTTTTTTTTGCCACCTCACTACCCCTCTTGTTGCAGGTGCCCGCAGCTCAAAGCGGCGCCTGGAAAGTTTTGTTTGCGGGTTGCGAGCGGCGGCGGCCCGGGATGCGGGTCCCGGGGCCCGGTTCTCCGCCGCTTCCCGCCGCACCGCGGCTGCCGGGGCTGGCGTAGGCGCCCCCTGGGAGAGCCGCGTGCGGGCATTAAACCCCCTCCCTCCTCCCCGCCGCCCTCCTCCGCCCCCTCCGTCCCTCCCTCTCTCCCTCCCTCCCTCCTTCCCTCTCCCCGGTGCGCGGCCATTGCAGTGACCCCGGCCGGCCAAGGATGATTACGAACACGCGGGGCTTCCTGTGGTCGGATCTGGAGACGCGGGCGCTGCTGGAGATCTGGGGCGAGGCGGACGTGCAGTCGGCGCTGGACGGCAACTTTCGGAACAGCCATGTGTACCGGGACGTGGCATGCCGCCTGGCCGAGCTGGGCTTCGAGCGCACCCCCGAGCAGTGCCGCATCCGCATCAAGGGCCTCAAGCGGCAGTACTACCAGGCCCGGGACGGGCTGAAGAAGAACGGGCACGCCCGCAAGATATGCAAGTACTACGACGAGATGGACCGGATCCTCAGCTGCCGGGGGGGGCCCGAGGGCGCCCCCGAGCCGCTGGCCCCGCCGCCCGACGGCGCCCACCCGCCCGCGGGGCCGCTGGCCGCGCCGCCCACGCCGGGCACGCCGCACAACAGCCGCTCGCTGGACGCCGAGCTGGACGAGGACGCCGGGCCGGAGTCCCCCCGGGACAACTTCACCGAGGATTCCGGCGAGTGCTCTTCCTACGCCGACCACCCCATCAAGGTGGAGTGCCCATCCTTCGCCATCCCCGTGCCGCCGGGGGACGGTGAGTACGCTGCGGGCTGTGTCCTCCCCTCAGCCCGCGGGCTCTCGCAGCCCCACTGCCGGCGCTTCTAAGTGGCTTTTTCCTTATCCTGCTGCTCCTGCCCCGTCCTTGGCGCTTCGAAACCCGCCCGTGCTTCCCCCGCTCTTGCACCTTGCGCGTCCCCGTGAACCGGGGAGCGGGCTGCTGCGGGTGCTGCCAGTGCTGCATGCCAGGGAGGGGGAGATGCTGCAGACAGGGACCCCAGTGAGTTTTCATCGGCATTTGTCAATGGGAAACCCATGGAAAACTAGCGCAGAGATTATCGAGACAAAGTGTCAGGTAGCATTGTACAAGAAAATAAGCATCCTTCCCGCTGGCGTGTTTTCCCGTTCCCTACAGACTGAGCGCAGTTTTGCTAATCGGTATTAAAACGATGATGACGATAATACCTGAAAAATCTCCTTATTGTTGCAGCTGGGCCAGAAAGCTACGGGAGAGCTTTTACATAATAAATTGCACGGGTTGTTTCAGAAACACTGTTTCTAACTTTACTGGCTTGCGGGCAGAAGCAGCACTTTGATAAAGCCTGTCCTTTCCCTGAGCGTTCTTTACCCTCCACATTTGTATTGTGTAGCAGCGGGGGAAATGTTGCTTGTTTGTTTTCAATCTAGATTAATGCAGGGTTTTTAATACAAACATGAACCTGTCTTCAGAAGTTGACATGACTTAAGAATCAGCCAATTGGTTGACGTTTAAGCAACCTTCTTTTTACATTTAAACCCCATCAAAGAGTTGTTTACACTAATGTTCTTTTGAAATGCAAATCTAGAATGCCAACAGACTGAAACTCAATTTAGATTAATATAATTATCTGCAGTAGACAAATGAGGATATACTATTTAATAACCTTCACTTAAACCTTTTTAGAAGATGAAAAAGACTCCCATTGTTGAAGTTTAGTACTACAACAATTAAAAAATGGCTCTGTGATTTTTGTGTTACCCTTGCAACTTGGTAGAAGTTTGTGGATTTGCTTTGGTACTCTGAAAGAAGTACTATTTATGTCACATAAATACAGCTTGCATTGAGAAAGTGTAACCTAATGCTTTGTGAGAGGTTAGGTCACCTGTTGTAGGGAGATTTTTTGCTGCTTTCCTCATACAAAATTGTTTTCCATCAGAAAAATAATAGATTCTTTCCTTGCTTTAGGCTTTAAAGAAGTCAGTGCTCCAACTATTACCCCACCTCTCAATCAGCCCAAAAGATCAAAAAAACGCCATACCAATTTGACATTGGATAAAATGATGGAAAAGTTCCTGCAGCAGAGCATGGATACAGACGAGAAGTTTTACAGATTCGAAGAGCAGAGGCTCAAAATTGAGGACAAGCGTCGGGAAGCGGAGCATGCTCGAGAACTCCAGATGTTACAGATGTTGGGACAGATGTTGGCTGGAATTTCTTCTTCGGTATCACAGAGGTCACAGTCTATACCAGCAAGTCCACCTCGGAGAGCGAACCATCGTTCATATGCGGATAACTTTAATTATAATGCTATGACAGCAACACTTTCTCCACCGATAGGTACTTCCTTCTACAGCATAAATAAAAGCTGGGGTACTTTTTAAAACTTCTGTGTGAAAGCACTGGTAGTAAGCAGCTTTTGAAAAATAAAAGCTAATTGGAATTATTTAATACTGTGGTGAAGGTGTTTGTCTGATGTCAAATGCAATTAAATCATTATTCGTACCATTGTACTGATTACTTAATACAGGTACATTAGTTACAACAAATTTTCATGAGCAAAATTATACCTTTGGAACCCTGTAAACCTTGGGTACATTCATGTCTCTGTACAGTGAAGTGAGATGGAGTTGTATATGTAAAAGGCAGGTAGGAGAGTTGCTGGAAGCAATCTGGAAACATGAGTTACTCTGTAGCAGAAATATTGCTGCTGTTCTGCTTGAAGTTACCAAGCATAACCCAGTATATGAAGTTAAGGCTGTGCATGTGTTTTTTCAGGGCTGGGAAAAGAGAGGAGTTTTTCCTACGCTGAAGTAAGTCAGATGTTAAGATCTAGCTTTAAAATAAATTTCTTTACAACAAAATTCTGAATCCTATAAATTAAATATTGTATTCTTGTCGTAGGTGTAATAGAAGATGAAAATACTTGCTTATGTTTTTTTTTTCTACACCAGCTCTATAAATTCTATGGGCATCTGAATTTACTCGAAAGTAAAAGGCAAAGCAGTATCTCAAGAATTGGCACAAACTTCCTTCTGTACCTCATGTGTGGGCCAGAAGCTGATGGTAGCAATCATTATCAAACTTCTTGGGATCTGTGTGCCTGTGGCATTTATCTTTATCATGGTCTCTTTGTACCTGGAGGTAGGCTGCATGGGCAGGAGGAAATCAGGGATATTCCATCAGTGCTGGAAGTAGAGTCAGACTGGAGCTTAGTGACTGTAGCCTGCCATGTGGAAATGCAAAAACTCTTATTCTGTTCTCATTCTGATTTTCACACTGCTTGGAAGGAAAAAAGTGTAGTTTGGAAAGAGGGGGAAAAAAAAGGAAGCAGCCAGCATCAGTGATGAATAATCATCTGGCATGCCAGATCCTAAGGGGCATGTCCTGAGAGGTCCTTTCAGTTGTGTGTTAGTTACTGTTTCCCTGTAAAGTGCAGGCAGGCTGGGTGGCTAGGCCTGTTGAGGGTTTAGGCTGGCAAATCTGGTTGTGTTCCTTGAGTGGATAGCTGGTGTGTAGGATTTCCTGGTGGCAGCAGACTTTTGCAGATAATTTATGGGATATGAATGGATACAGTGTTTCAAATGTTCTCACTTTTAAAATTAAGGAGAACTGGTGTGCTTTAGAAAATCCCATAGGAAATTATTTAAAGTTCTAGACTGGGGTGAAGGTACCAACAAGGCCTTACCATTACTTCTGAAAGTTTTTTCCCGAAAAGCTTAATTATGTGTAGCAACCTGAAACTGAGGTTCAATTTTTCTTGTTGGATTTCATCATATAGGTGTACAGGCATGTTGCACAATGCAAAAATTCATTTTATTTATTTTACTGTAGCGAGAGCAATTCTAGATTCTAATCTTCTAATTGGCAAGGGTGTAAAAAAGTGTTTATGCTAAAATGTGAGCACAGTGCTTCAGGCAACACATCTTTTAAGGAATTAAGATTTAATTTGTTGAGAGCTGAATATGCCATAGTGATTCTGTAGGTAGAGTAGGGCTATATTAAGAATGGCTTTTTGCATAATTCTCTGCTTTCTCTCCGTTTATTATGTAGTGATTTTATATTCACACATGAACAAGAACCAGCAGCAAATAAACACAAGGCCTTCTTAGCAACACTGCAGTTTAAGGGTCCCAAGCTGCATAATATTTTGGTGTGGTTGAAAACCAGCAAGTGTGTGAAGTGTGATTTAAAGAAAATAATCTTTCCTGTTTTCAGAGGAGATGAGGATTTTGTTCTCCTCTGGGTCACTGCAATGCTATTTTGGCCGTAATCCAAAACAGGTTGTGGGTTTTTTCTTTTATTTTCATTCCTTTCTTTTTTTACCCCCCTGTATTTAAGAGCAAAAGATCAGCCAAGAGTATTTATCATTATTGAAGACTAAAGCATACTATTACTGAAGATTAGCATGTTTGGTTTAGATTCTGTGAAATTCAGAGAAAAAGATGTATTTTGCTGATAGCACAAAGACTTGGAATTTTCTTGTTTATTACATTTTTTCCCCTTATTATGCCCAGTACTTCTGGAACAGAAATTTTCTTTTTTTTTTTTCCCTTCTTTTTTCCTCCCCTCTATATTTTGGAGTTGAGGGTTTGGGTTATTGAGTTTTGTACAGCTGAAAATAAGGAATATCATGGGAATTATTTTCTACATAATTATGTTATACATGTGTAGCAGTTCTTGAAAGCTTTTTAGAAGATCTGTAAAAAAGAATGTAAGCATGGCTATGATCTAGGACACTGATATTAGCATTCAAATAAGCCACTCTTCTGAGCAAAGTTTTACAGGTAATGAGGAGCTTTTAAGAACTTGCTCTTTTAGTGTATTTGCTGCAGTTTATAGTTAACATATTGTTGATAGAAGTAGTGATCTTCACATTTTCCCCATGTTAGGTAAATGTTTTGATTCTTTCTAGTTGTAATTGTTGAAGTAACTTTTTCTTCTAAATTTTTGTAGCCTTTGGAAAGAGTAATTTGATACGTAGCCTACTGAGTGTGCAGTTGTTTTAGTATGTGGCTTGACATGTAGCTTTGCATCAGAGATCTGGAGATGTATTATAGCTAAAAATGATCTTTGTGTGATATTTGTGATGTTTGCATCTAGTGTGTTGGATTATAGTTTTGCAGAAAGACTTTCACTATGCTTTGTAACCACCTACCAAAATAACAAAGCAGTGATTCTGCTAAGAGGTGGAAGTCTTTAAGGGGATGCGAAATATAAGGTAGGGTGTACATTTAAAAATTGGTTTCAGTTGCTTTGTGCTTGCTCTGTGGATGTGTTTAGTCCTTACTAAGTGTTCCTATTTCAGTTGAGCTTAATTATGGAACTGATTTCAGGCTGAACTAAGAAGGTATTTCTAGTTACAAAATGTTCATGTAACTATTCTGGGTTGTTGCTTCTTTCTGTACCTGAGCCCTAAATTAGGACTGTGAACAGTCAGTGAGAATATTCTCTTCATCAGACCCTGAATGCATTTTTATAATCATCACCTTCCCTAGTTACTCACTGTTCTAAAGGCCTTTAAGTGACAAAGCATTTGGATTTTAGAAGTATGTCACTTTGTGTATATTTGTGTGATTTTATTAGTGTATATGAGTGCTTAAAAGAAATGCTTGGCAGTAGTTTAAGGAAGAACATTCTTTGAAGTAACACTTATTTTCTTCTTTTCAGTTATAGAGAGGTCTTTTTCACTGCACAGAACACACACTCTGAAGGATATGGAGAATATTTTCCAGCTGGTGCGCAATGTTATCCCTCCTCTCACAGGGAAAAAGCATAAAGGTCAAGATGGTCGTATAGGCATTGTTGGAGGATGTCGAGAGTAAGTTAAATAGAAATTTGATTTTTGCTTCTGATAAAGCTTCAGGATTTCATAACTGCTTGGAGAAGCCATTCAAGCTCACCTTACACTTAAACCACAGTTTTCCAGAGAGCTCTAGGACTCCATCATCATGACCATGCATACTTAGGAAAGGACATGGTACCTTGCAGATGTGTTGCAAAGTTTTTATACTGAATGTTATGGGAACTTAAAATGCTGTTTGTGTCTACCTTCTCTTATCTTTTTTGACCACCAAAAGCTGTTAGTCTTTTCCCATTGCATGGTGAGGTTTTAGAATAAATAGAGTAAGACAGTGGCACATCTGATTTTTTTGCCTTCTTGGGAACTGTGTCTCTTTATTTTCTTATGCTATGTTTTCTTGTGGGCTTTTTGTTTTGATAAATATTGGTGTTTAGTAGATTCTGTCAATGTCTTGCTTTATGTACTGGAGTAATGGAAATATCCCATTTCAGGGGAGAAAAGATGTATTACATAAATCAGTTAAATGCTGTACTGACCTAGAACCAATATTGGTCACAATACTTTGAATGAGCCACTACACCTTCCTTCTTTTCATTTTCCCCTTTTGAAAGAGAGATGACATCTTTCTCCTGTAAGAGAGATCTACTGTTGGACATCTGCTGTTAATAAACATTCCATAAAGAGCAAAAAGGTGCTGCCTTGTAGCTGGGTCAAATAGCCAGGAGTTAGAAGCTAATGGTCATAGGTTCATTCAACCTCTTTGTTGAAGTAAGCACTTTTGGAGGGTGATTGTATTCATATCTCTCTCCTCAGTCTTTATAAAAAGAGAATTTAGAGCAACTGGAATCACACTTCAGGCACTTTAGTTAAGCATCTAAAGCCAGATGGGATTGATCCAGGTCACAGATCCCATATTTAGCTTGCAAACAGTTTTTGGCTCTTGTTTTGTACGTCTCTGAAGTTTTACCTCTGTTACTTGAGAAAATTTTGCTGGTTTATGGCATGATCTGTGTAAATATTTCTATGAAAGATCATTATCTGATCTCATTACTGTGGTTCTTAACACAAGTTTTGTTTCATTTTAGATACACTGGAGCACCATATTTTGCTGCAATTACAGCCCTCAAAGTGGTACGTGTTCTTCTATACAAGTCCAAAATGAACTTTTCATAATTTCTGTTGCCTAGGTGTCTTTTTAAAAATAGCTTTCATTCTGTAGTGCACATGAACTTTGAGCTCTAGAAGGTCTTCTCTTAAGCAAAGAAAATCCTTAGTTCAGAATTTGTAGAAATACATTGTAAATGTGTCATTTACACTGTGTTTCATTTACATGTGTTTCATTCACCATGTTTCCTTTCTCTGTATAAGGTGAAGTTAGAAATATTTTCAAAATTTGACAATTTCAGGGACTTGGATAGGAAATTTCAAGACTTGATGAAATATTTTCTCCAAAAGTGAACAATGAAATAACCTTAGATTATTGTTTAGAGTTATGTTTTTGTGCTATAGTGAGTTCTTTGGAAATTTTTTCTGGACCTGATAACTGTATTGAATGAAACAACTTTCTTTCAAAATTTAAAACTTTTGACTAGTAAAATTTTTATATGTGGTAGGTTTAAAGATTGTGGGTGGAATTCCATGTAATTTCTAATAGCACATTTTATTTGCATTCTAATCTTCAGCAGAAGTATTTTCTAAGATTTTTTTTTCCTAGAAGCATGAACTTCCTTGTTGTATTGACATATCAAATGGCTAAACAGACTACATAAATACAGGGTGATTGTTTAAATGTAAACAAGTCATGCTTACATAATACATCTGATTTTCAGAATGCTATATATAGTGTGTCAGTACTTTCAGCTCATTGTGTCTGTTTTTCTTTTTGAAGATTTCTCTCAATATGTAGGTAACCATCCCAGATATTTCTAACCACTTCTTCTCTCAGGATGCAAACCCTCAAAGATTTGAAACTGAAATGATGTTATTTAACCATGTTATTATAAAATCACAAGGCCACTCAGCTTTCTGTCCACTATTTTGTCTACTATGTGGACAAGTCCAGTGGCAGTACCAAGAGGTTCCTTACTGAGGTCACTTGATTTCAGACCATTACACCTGCACATAACCAGTCAGAGTAGCTTGAAATGTTCAATGTATAGTGGTAAAACAGAGAAGACACTTCCTTGATACTGCGAAGTTTCAGTATGCATGACCAATACAAGATCACTGGTCTGGTCACTCCTTACATAATTTTATGTGTGCTCTGATTTTTTGAGTTGGTAGCAGAAGCTTGAGACTCAACTCTTTAGCTTTAATGTTTATTTAACATAGGGTGTGTTGCCAAAATTGTGCCAGCCTTTTTCATGTATGAATTTTGCCTATTGAGTAAAAATGGTAGGACTAGAAATGTATTCATGGGTCACCATAGCTATATTTTCAAGTGTTACAATAGTATTATGGCTCTCTTAAGTGGTTTTACTCATGTTCATCTGTGGCTTTTGTACATGAGACATTGTAGTCTTTGGTCATCTACAGATGAGAAACATTTCTCAAGTGAATAAAAATTTGAGATTTGTGTTTTCAGTCATCCTGTTAGCAAGAAACAAAAAAAAATTATATTGGAAGTTACGTATAAAAAGAACAGAACATTTCATACTTGTCTATGCCAAAATAGAAGAAACATAATAAAACTTGTTTAAACTACCGAGAGGAAAGTATTCAGTTGAATTATTAGTTGAGTAATCTTTGGAATGATTAAGTTATTACTAAGTATAAATTTGACAATACTGTTTGCAAATTTTCTTTTTTAGGGTGCAGATTTATCCCATGTGTTTTGTACCAAAGATGCAGCAACGGTAATCAAATCATATAGTCCAGAGCTGATTGTTCATCCAGTTCTGTAAGTGACTTACAGTTTGTTTAATCAGCTAGTCAGGCTTACTAGTTTTAATATTTCAGTCTGATAATTGATTCATTTGTGTTATTTATTTTGCTGAGTTACTGGATGGATGAGCTGGAGATCACAGAAACTCCAGGCTTTGTCCTTTCGTTATGACCAGTTGAATATTTAATATGGGACAGTCAACTGTGAATTTCTTTTTATATGACTGTCAAAGTACAAGTTTTAAAAAGCAGAGATCTTTCTTTCTGCTTCTCCCTGACTTGTTCTGTGGTTGTAATGCAATTAGCAGTGAGCAGCAGCAAGATCCAGAGCTAAAAATTGCTACAAGTCAGCATTTTGCAATCTGCATTTGAAAGGCAAATGGAGTGTGTTCTCTTGCTTCTTCAGTATTAATAGTATTTAATAGTAGAGTGTCTGTTTTCCTCTCACTACTGTGTATATAGACGCCTAGGTAAAATTACAAGGCAAGAGAGATGCTAATTCTCCTTTTTCTTCATGAGTATGTTGCTTGAAATACACACCTGTTCTTGGGAATTAATAGATGTTCCAAAATTATATAAAATAAGGGTTTAATTAACAAGAAGAGGAAATTTTAATAAGTGACTGTCCTCTAATTGAGAAAATCAGTGTCGATGTGTGTGTGCTTCTCTGAATTTCTGTTCTGAAATATGTTACTGATTGATGAACTTTCATAGGATAAATTTGTTTCAATTAGGTGTTTTGACTGTTTGCAATGAGCGCTGCAAATTGGAATTAAGATGTGTGCCTTAGGTGTATGCCTGTGAGCTTAGTTCTCACCAGTGCATGTCACAGTCTGTTGGTGTACATAGCAAAGCTGTGATGAGGGTAGGGAAAGCATGATTTAAAAACATGTTTGTCAGATATTGCTGTCAGGAAGGATTTATGACAGTAGGTGTATTTTGGTGTCTGAGAGCAAGAATGTGGTCTTCCTTATGGGGATGTCTGCGTTGGAAGTTGTAAGTTTATTGCATTCTGAAAGTGGGATTCATTCCTGTTGCTGGAGACAGAAGTGCTTAGAAGGAAGGCAGCTAAACAGGGTTGTGTTTTTTGGCTGCTTTTTCCCCCCACTCCCCAAAGGTAGAAGAAACCCATAACTTTATGGATTTCAGACAAAATAAAAATGATGTTTGAAAGCAAGGAGAGATGGGTAGGGGTTTTACCAGTATAACTGCTTATCTCTTCAGTCTAAAAAGCATCTCTTCAGTTCATGTTCTGTCTGATATCATATGATAGCAAATGCAATGGAGAAGCCTAATGGCAATATTAGCATTTAACTTGGGGTGTCTGGATGTGTTTCACTTGAGGTACAGCAGATGGTCATCTTGTATGGTGATGAGTTGACCTTGCCTTGGGAAAAGCTTGGTTTGTGTATGCAATGCTTCTTGATGTCTCATAATGGAAAATGTTAAATAGGAGAAACAGAAGCAGTACAGAGGAAAAGGGAGCTGAAAATAGGGTTAACAGTAAACTTTCTGTTCATGAAGAACCAGATCAGGCCTGCTAAGTAAGAGTGGGATTTTTTTATACACAGATTCTCAGTGTCTTCGGTGCAATTCAGATTTCATTGAAAACTCTGATCTTTCTACCTTCTACAAGAGAAATTCTGATTTTAAACTTCTGCTCTGTCTATGAGTTCCTTCAGACATACACAGTATAGTTAATCTACAGATTTTCATATCCATATATCTATTAAGTCTGTGACTCAGTATTTAATACTTTTATTAAAACTCCGATTAATTTCACACAGACAGCTGGGATAATTGCATGATGCAGTGGATCTGTAAATATTGTTTACGTGACATTCAAAATGAAAAAAAAAACCACAAATATCTGAGCATTCAGATTTTATTTATTAAATTTTCTTGTATTTTTATCTGTTCTGCTTCATTCTCAAACCGGGACAGAGGGAAAGAGAAAAGAGTCTTTTCTGGTTAGAAAGGAAGAAATCTTGATTGACTCTACTGAGCCCAGGTTTTATTGAAATTTACACTAACAGCCTGTTTTTCTTGCAAGGTGCTTTGTGTTCAGTGTCCCAGTGTTCATCTGATCCTTTGTACGTTTGCGTTCCGCAGGCACGGCCGGCTGCTCCTGCCTCGGAGCCTGATCCCTTAAACAGCCTTTGTGCTTCCTGCCGGCCGCGCTTCACGCATGGGGGAACCTCCGGGTAAAACCCACCAGCAGCTATGCCATTGTTTGCTTTTGTGGCTCTCCTCAAAACTCTGCTTTGTTATGATTTCTCCATGACCCTTCAGAGTAACTAGGTAGCTGTTGTGCCACTCTGTTATTATGCTAATCATAATTATGGCCCCGTGTGCTCAACTCCCTCTTTGAGCAGCTTGGCACTTTGCCAGGGTTCAGCTGCCATTTTGTACTGCTGGGAGTCTGACATTTTATCGTCTTAGCTGCCCCTGCTTTCTCTACTGCCTTCACCTCACAGGGGATCACCTCAAGGGAAGAAAATGCTCTTTTCTTGCCCTCTCTGGGTGCTTGGGCTCTTTGGGCTCATTAGAGCTGCTGTTGTGGATCTTTGCCAGCATGACTGGTGAAGGCATGGGAGAATTAGAAGTTGGACTGGGGCGTTTCAGGTCTTTGGCAGCTGTCTGTCACTTGAAGGATGCAGAGAATGGTATGTGAGAATGATTGAGCAGGATTGCAGAAGGAGGGTTATGAAAATGAACATCCATCTTGCAGCATTGCCAAGGCAATTCCACATGATCTCAGATGCAGTCCATCCCAGGAATCCTTTTGGTGTGACATTCCGTTTTGGGGACACCCATAGTGCCGCTTTCTGTGGTTTTTGTTTCTTGACTTCATTCCCTGTAAGTGAATGTGAGAGCTGGGACTGCATGCCTGGGATCTGGAAAAATGAAACTTCAGCACCTGGCTCTGTGTCCTCACTACCTGAGCAGAATAAGGAAAGCAGGATGTCTAGGGGCTGTGAATAGTCAGTATTATCAATGGTAACTTTTCCTTTTTATTCAGGGATTCTGTCAAATGCATTATGGCCCCTTCCATAAGGATGTGGTTATTCAAAAACTGACCAGCTAACCAGTTCAATATTGATGTCCAACTAACATTCATATTGATGTCCAACTTCTTGCTTTCCTGTGGAGAAGCAAAAAATGCGTATTGCAGAAGCTGGGGTCTTTGAATAATGGAATATACCCAGTCTTTGTGACATCTGCTCTCCTTGGTCTTGTCACTGCTACCTCAGGTTTGTGCTGCACTTTCCTGTTCTGTCAGCTAATGTGCTCCTACTGTAAATGCTTCACAAATACAGGCAAGATAAAACCTAGCTTTGGCATTTTATTAAGCTTTATTGCAGGTGTTCTCTGTGTGGATTTTTGCTGTAGATGTGTGCACACTTCCTTCATGCATTTCTAGAGAAGAGTTTTCAGCAGCTTTTTTATATTTGCCATGGTGGTGGCCTGGCTCAGATCAGGCTGAATAGACTTCTTGGATACCTGTGTTGGGTTACCTTGTCTTGTCCTGGTAGGCAAGTGATCACAGAGCTGAATGAGCTGTAGGAACCCAGGTGGCTGTATGTTGAAAGAAGAGAGAATAACTTATTGTGCTATTTTCCCCTTTTGCCGGGACTTTTCATAATTGTACAGGGATTTTCTTCTCTGTAGGCCAGAAAAGAGCCAGATAATACTGAGTAGCCCCCTTGTAAGCTGGTCATCAGACAGTTTGTAAAGTCAACAATCAATATACTCCTTGATCTCCAGGGTTTTATCAGAGAAGTAGAATGAGGTCATTGATTTCTTGTGGTGCCAAAGAAGTGACGTAATTCTACATTATCCACCAAAAAAGCCACCCTTGAACAAGGCATGGATTTAGAGCTAAAACCTTCCTCTTAGCTGGTTATATCTCTGGGTTTGTGTGGACTAGGAAAGATTGTCAGAATTACTTCAAGTCTTACAGTTGATTGCAGAGTTCAGGTTTTGGGTTGCATTTTGGAAAAGATTATTCATTTGAGTTTGAAATAAGAATAATTGGGAAAAAAATACTTCTGAGGCTGGACTGTTTGTTGAGGGCAGCTATCTTTAATGAAGAAACTCAGTGAAGATCAGGGTTTCTGGAACATATTTTACCTAGTTTTATTGAATTTTTCTATGTTTTGAGCATTTGAAAAAATCATGAAAGTGAATCATGGCTAGTTGAGGCCCTGATAAGTTACTTGAGCACTCTGAACCAGTGCCAAATCTCTTATAGAAAGCCCAGCAATAATCTTAATATTTTTGGTCTCCTGTAATTTCTTATGTTAAGAAGAAATTACAGGAGACCAAAATAAGAGGAGATGCAAAAGCATTGATGCAGTGTAGAAGGATGCTCATACCTTCTAGCTGTAGGATAGCTATTAAAGATAGCTATTAAACACTACTTTGGTGTAATGCTGGCACTGACCTCACTTTTGGATCAGCTGCTGGAAGAAGTGCAGAGTTATTGTCACCAGGGAAAGTCAGGGAATAATCGGACGCCTCCAACAATCAAAATGATGTCTCACAAGTGACTTGGCTGCTGGGTCACCTGCAGCAAAGATGAGGGAAGATATAAACTTTGTGATCATTCTTCCAAAGCCTCATTTAGACATCAGCCTGGCTAGGAATCACATGAGAAAGTCCAGGTTTTTTTCTTAAGTACTTAGGGGGAGATAAAGGTCAATTTGTATGTGCAGACTTAGAGAATTTATATATTTAAACTCTTTCTTGTTCTGTCATGGAATGCTGTGGCCAAAACTTGCTTATGGACTTGTTTCCTGTGTCCAGCCTCCTTGGCAAAAAACTGCTCCTTCTTTGCTGTGTGTTGCAGAGTGAATAAAAGCAGGGAGGTGTATTCACCCTGTGCTATAGTGCCTTTCCTTCCTGTAGTTGCAGAGATCCCCTGTGATTCCAGCAGAGGTTTTGTCACCTCCTCAAAGTGTGAGAAGTAGCCAAAGATTTTTAGCATTGCTGCAGGGAGTGCTGCTGTCCTTG